TGTGTTTCCTATATAGGTAACTTATTTATTAATCCTTGCTTTCAGAATCAACCTATAGAATAAGCATGGGTAATTGAATTATTGAGAAGAGTGTAAGTGTTACCTATCTTAACAATGTTCAGAGAAACATAGTGGAGAGGAGTTGCGTCATAAATGAGATATAGAACAGGGGGCCATAAGAGGCAGAAGAAAGGGTAAGAGTGGGAATTTCTTTTTTTTTATTTTTGTGAGGAAGATCAGCCCTGAGCTAACATCTGATGCCAATCCTCCTCTTTTTTCTGAGGAAGATTGGCCCTGAGATAACATCTGTGCCCATCTTCCTCTACTTTATATGGGATGCTGCCACAGCATGGCTCGACATGTGTGTGCCCGGGATCTGAACCGGCGAACCAAGAGTGGGAATTTTTTCATGATACATAGTGGGAAGTTGAGATATAACTAATATACATATAACAAGAAGTAGATTATGGATAAAATAATATTATCAAACACTGTAAATATAAATAATAAAAATATATAAATTCATCAAACTAAGAAAAGGAGGAAAGAAAAGAAGATGAACAGTCATATAAGTGACCTAAATCCTCATTTGTAGGAAAAGTCAATAAATTCTATCTTCGAGAAGAAAGTATATTGTTTAGAGATATGGAGATAATCACAAGAAATGAAATCAGACCAAGGTAAAAGTACCTGTCTCTCCTCTGTGGAGGTAAGGATTGCTTTTCATAAATTATTACTATTCAATTGGTTTTACCTTGCTACCTCTCTCTCTATATATACATATCTACATATGTATGTAGAATATAGTATGTTTTATTTATAATATGTAGAATATATTAGTATTTTTCATATATGAGGAAAACATGTGTGTATGTGTGTGTGTGAAGTGTTGCTTGATCAAATTTCCTAGGTACCTGGTTAACACCTTTTGATATATGAATTTAAGTTTAGTCTTATATATGAAAAATATTCTTGATTTATACTTTAAAATAATAGCTGTTTTATTATTTCTTCGGTTATTCTTCAAACGGTCCAAGTATTCGTATGTCAGACATTCTTTGCCTCTCCTCCATTTCAAGCTCTTTCTCTCTGACTCTTTTCTCCTTTCTCTATCTCACAGTCATTACCTTGGTTAATCTTCTGCTTGTCTTCATGCCTCTTACAGAATTTTTATTTGAATCTTATATTTTCCTTTGGACACTTTATAATTTATTTGTCATTTTTGAGATTTTTTTATCCTTTAATTTTTCACTAAATTTTATCATTACATTCTTAATCTCCATTTTTGTTCTTGTTTTTCATTTCTCTTCTTAGTTTTTGATTTTCTGAGTCCAGATCTTAAAAATAGTTATCTCCAACTCTTTATATTTTGAAATTTATTTCAGTTTGGAATATTGTGTTCCAGTTAGATTTTTCCGTTTTGTATTTGTTTTCAAATGGAAGGGTTTCATCAGCTGAATTGTTTTGATTCTCACTTTTTTCCCCCAGCTTTATAGAGGTTTAATTGACAAATAGAATTGCAATATATCTGAAGAGTAAAATGTGAAGATTTGATGTACGTGTACATTGTGAAATGATTACCACAATCAAGTTAACACATCTGTCACTTCATATAGTTACTCGGTTTTTTTCTTTGTTTTGGTATGAAAGCTTAAGATTTACTCTCTTAGCAAATTTCAAGTATACAATATAGTATTAACTATAGTCACCATGCTATATATTAGATCCTCAGAACTTAGTCATCTTATAACTGAAAGTTTATACTCTTTGATTAACATCTCCCCATTTCCTCACTCCCTAGCCACCACCATTCTACTCTCTTTCCATGAGTTCAACATTTCTTTTTTTGTTGTTTTTTTTAGGTTTCACATATAAGTGATATAATCCAGTATAAGTCTTTTTCTGTCTGGTCTATTTCACTTAGTATAATGTCTTTCAGGTTCATCCATATATCACAAATGGCAGGATTTACTTCTTTTTTGTAGTTAAAAAATATTCCATTTTCTTTATGCATTTGTCTGTCGGTGGACACTAAGGTTGTTTCCATATCTTGGCTATTGTGAATAATGCTGCAATGAACATGGGAGTGCAGATATCTCCTTGAGATAGTTATTTCATTTCCTTTGCATATGTATCCAGAAGTGAACTCATTTTCTATATCTTCTTACAGTAGTTTTGCCTGCCATTGGTCTGAATCTTCCTCTTTGTAGGCAGGGTTCCTAGAGCAAGAGCATCCTCTTCCATCATTATTGTGAAGTATGCTTTCCTTAATGGATGATAACATTTTTGGTGGTGGTGGTGGGGAAGTGGAGAGGTTAACATATATTGTGATTCTCCTTCGTTTCTCTGGGTTCCTTAGTATTTCTTATTTATAGTCTTCTTTTCAATCACTGACATACCTCCAGTGTCACCTGTCCTGTATTTCCTTTTTCCTCAAAAGTGAAGATTCTCTTAACTTCCCAATTCCCGTCCCATTTAATTGTAAACTCAATCTCTACAGTTGGTGTTGTAAAATGCCACATCCCAGGCCTGTGTTCAGTTCAGTATTTTAGCACTTAGTATCCAGTGCTCTCATTTTGGTCCATCTTTCTTATGGAAAGATTTATTACCTTATTTATTACCTTTTCACACTCCTCCCACTTCTGTTGGGTGTTTTAATTCTCTCATTCCCTGATCTCCAGACTCACAGGCTCATGGCAATGACAGCTACCAGCAGTAGCTCTGCTGGAATTTGGTGTATATTTCTCTACTTAAAGGTAATTTGAAATTCACACTATTCTCTGTATCTTAATAATACTGAAAGCTGACATCATTTAAAATTTTATTTGTGCTCCTTTTTGGTCTTAACTTTCGGGAAAGGTTGCATGGAGCAATTTAAATTTAGTCAACTGTCACTATCCTAGGACTAACATAAACCAAATTATAAATTTTTAAAAATGAATATATATTTATCATAGATAATCAACAAATTATAGAAAGTTAAAAGTAATTAACCTACCCACAATCCAACTACTAAAACATAATCACTAATTAATACCATTATGGCATAGCTTTGCTTCCTATACACAGGCATATGCCTGTCTATGTTATATGTTTCTCCATTGTATGTGTGTGGAGAAAGAGAGAGAGAGGTATCTCAGAATCTTTATCTGCAGAGACTGAGCAATGGGTTAAAAATAAATTATTCTGTGTGTGAAAGGGAATGATAGGACATTTAGAAGCTATGCTATAAGGTTAGAAAAAAAATGAGAAGAGTTAAGAGGGACAAACAGAAACTGATATCTAAAAGGTATTCTTTATGAAATTGTATATATAATGTATAGATATAGATAGATACACATGTCAAAAGTTTATAAAAGTTTTTAGTTTATACATATTGCCAAATTACTATATGGTTTATACCAACATATGCTTTCACTACCATACCCTCATTGTACCAAGCCTATTTTAAAACTTTGGGCCAATTTTGCAAATTTGAAAGGAATCTTATTTTAAATGTTTTTAGGTTAAATATTTTTCACATGTTTATTGGTCATATCTTTTATGGGGAAAAATTGGTGAATTATCTGCTCATATCTCTTGTCCAATCTTGTACTAGGATATTCTGGGTTTTTTTAATTTTTTATAATGTCTGTAAGTATTCTTTATATATAAATGACATCACATTTTTTGTTTGTTTGTTTGTTTGTTTGTTTTTGTTTTTTGTGAGGAGATCAGCCCTGTGCTAACATCCGCCAATCCTCCTCTTTTTTTGCTGAGGAAGACGGCCCTGGGCTAACATCTGTGCCCATCTTCCTCCACTTTATATGGGACGCCGCCACAGCATGGCTTGCCAAGCAGTGCGTCGGTGCGCG